GTTTTTTTTGTGTTTGTTCACACTCCCACTCATTCATCCACCCACACACACACACTCACACATGAAAAACATTGATCAGGGTGTATTGAATTGCATTGGTGTGAATAAATCACAAGAATTTTTTTTAGATATTACTACGATATGATACGAACAACCAACAATATCAATTTACAAAGCTAGAAAAAAAGTTAAATATTCTGCAAAACGTCAATGAAAATGATGTTATGAATCATTTAATAGGAAAAAAGGGAAAAAAATTTCTGTTTTTTCCCTTGATTATCATTATAAAGCGCATTATGAAACGAAAATCATTCATTACGTATACATCGTCGAAGGTCGATTGTCGATTCATTTATTTGCGACCAAACTAAATTTGCTTTCCATCATCATCATCATCATCAACGACAACGACAATAATGTGGGTCGTATTCTGCAAATTTTTCTTTCCTTCTCTCTCTCTTTAAACAAATTTAAATTTTGTAAACATCAATTTAAACAAAACGATATAGTAAAAGTGTTGGGTGAAAAAAAAATAAAATCAAAATATAACTACTATCGAATTGATGAACGAATAAAAAAGTCATAAAGTAAAACGAAAGAAAAAAACAAAATCACGAATCAAATCAACGGCAACCCGTACACAATTTATATTTTTAAATATGATAATGAGGCTAGAAAAAAGGGGAAAAAATTCATAATAAACAAAATTTAAACGAATTTTTTTTCATGAAAAACAAACAACAAAATAGCGATAAAAATAATTTTTTTAGAGAGAAAAGAATATTCTCATATTCAGATATTCAGGGAAACAATTTGTAATTCCTATATAATTTCAATTTCATTTTGATTTCAGTCAACTTCAATCAATTCACACTTACTTATTTAATCATTTCAAATTCTTGATTTTTTTTGGAATTCTGTATGTTTTATAGGCATGAAAACAGACAAAACAAAACAAAAACAAAAACAAAATAGGTTCAAAATGATTATTCATTTTGTCTATATTATTTTTTCTGTAACACAACAGAATAGTCCAAGCGAATAATGATGATCATCATCATCTAAAACACTGAACAATAACAATGGAAATATTATCAGATGAATGATATATTCTGAAAGAATTAGTAATATTTTTGTTTTTTTTTGTTTGCTGAGGATATTCTTTTATTCTTGAATTCAAATCTTTAGAGAATCTTTTATGACACGGAGAAGCGACAAAAAAACTAATAACAATAATAATGGTTGATGAAAAAAAAATCAAAGCAAAGAATAAATCTTTCTTTCTTTTTTGTACCATAAAATTGCAACGAAGAAAAGATTCTTTTCTCTTTCACATTTTTCGATGACATAACATTATACTTTTCTCGTTTTGTTTCCAATCTATATTATCATTATTTGGTTCAATGATTTTCATCTTTTCACTTTTTTTTTTGTTTTATCACTAAGTATAAACCATGATGTTTGTGTATGATATTGATGATGATTACTGATTTTGAAATGTAAAGATTTGTTCGGGTTATTATGATAATATTGACACTTTGGGAAAATACCCGAATGAACGGATATTATGTATTTTCAAATATCCTGAGCTTTTTTTCAGATCAGATTTGTCGGTCAAAAAATTCTTTCCATTTTTTTTCGGTTTTGTTTAATCATTAAACGATTGCCCGAGAAACAGAAAAATGTTTTCCCATATCATCCTATATATGGTAAAAAACCGAATCGAAAATTTTTTTTTTTGTTTTCAATTTTATTATCAATGTTTGTTATTATTCTTTTGGTTATTTTTATCGATTATTTTTTTTGTTGGCTTTTCAAACAAAAATTCTTATTTTTTTCTTCGTTGTTTGCTTCGCTATACACACATCATTCAATCACTACTAATGGTAAAAGATTCACAATAGAGAGAATTCTTTTTGAGGAAACAACAACGATTATTAATGGCATCTTATAAGAAAAGAAAGAAAGAAGAAAAGCCATTTTAACATGAATATAACTTTGATGAAGAATCTATGGAATTATTTTCTTTTTTTTGGCCTTTAGAAATTTTTCAATGGCTTTTCATCGTTTGGCTTGTTTGTTATTGTCGATATTGTTGATGTTTGATGTTGATGTTTTTTTTTGTTGTTGGAAAATCTTTGTTACACAATCTAAATTCTTGCTTGTTTTTTTTATATTATTATTATTATTGCCAATGTTAGACATTAATTACAATAACAACAACAGCTCGACAAACAACAACAACAACATGATCATTTTTATTTTTATTTTCTGTAATATCAACCAAATAAAATGAAGTAAAAAAAACGTTATTGTTTATAATAATAATAATGGTGATAAAGATGATGATGATGATAATGTTATTGTCAATTTGAACAAAGGTAACAACTTTCAACAACAACATAAAAAAGTTTCAAAAAAAAGAAGTTAATTTATTTGCATCATTGGATTTTTTTTCGTTGACAAAAACAAAGATCAATTGTCATTATGTTTTTCTTTTCTTCTTCTTCATCATCATCTGGATGATTCTTATCTTTGTTTGTTGTTGTTGATCAAAAAAAAAATCGATTTTTTTCTTTTGGTTTGGTTTGTTTGTCAATTACAAAATTAACAATTTTTTCTTTTTTAAATATTTATTCTATACCAGATCTAATCATGGAATGTTTGTTTTTCGGCTGAATTCCCCTTCAAGCGAACGATAAGAAAATTTTTTCTATTCTTCATCATTAATCGATATAGAATCAAATTCTCTTGTTTTTTACTGGCTTCAATTTTTGGTAATCACTGTATTCAACAATAAACCATTCAACAATGAAAATGAAAATTCCGTTATCGTATCTATTTTATCATTATTGTTGTTGTTGTTTTGTAATTTTATTCATATCATTTCAACAATCATTATCCTTATCATCATCATCATCATCAATATCAAATTCACCATTGACCATTACTACCAATAATAATAATAATATTACTACTAATATTGTTAATAATTTAACAAGTTTTTCGACAATATCTACTATTATTATTGACAATGATGATGATAAAAATCAAGAATCATTATCATTATTATCATCAATCGATAATCACATAATCACCAAAGATGATAATGACGACGACGATGATGACGATGATGATGATGATGATTATATTATCAATAATAGCCATTATAATATCGAATCATTAAACAATAATAATGATAATGATAGAAAATTTCATACAAAAGCCTTAAGTTGTGATGATTATGATGATAATGTTGATGATCATAGTGGTAGCTTAGATGTTGAGATTTCACACGTAACAAATTCTAGATGTTCTAGAAAACCACAACAACAACAACAACAAAGAATTCAACCAAATCGACTTCTAACTAAAAAATCAAAATTACATATCGAAAATAATAATCAGGGAATCAATTCAAATAATATCATTAAATCTAAAACGATAGTTTTACATGAAAAACAACAACAACAACAAAAACCGATCAAAATTCTATCGAAATCATCATCATTAATGAAAAAATCATCAACAACAACAAAGAAATTTTCTCAAAAACAACAACAACAACAACAAAATGAACATCAAAAACGAATCAAATTCCAGAATCATTCTATGAAAATGTCTATGAATAAGAATGATAATAATAATAATAATGATCATCATCATCATCATTATGATCAGAATAATTTCAAAGAAAAATACAAACAAAACATTCAAAACAACAACCAAAACAACAACAATGATTATAAGCAAATGAAAATCCTAGCTCAAGTAAGTTTGAAGTGTGTATTATTATTATTATTAAAAGAAGGGGATGGAAATCAAAAAATTATCTTTATCCACTTTACAAGTGAAAATCATTATCATCATCATAATAATAATCATCAATTGTAACCACAAAAACCACCATCATCAATAACTTTATTTCATACATTAGCCTGGTCTCTGTTTGATAATATTTTTTGTTTCTCACTTACTTAGTTACGTTATTAAATAAATTTTTCATTCTTCCTCACCTCGATTTCCGTCATAGGGATTTTCTGTTTTGTTTTTTCGATCAACCAATAGATTCGATTCAGAATATTTATAGCTATTTTTTTCGTTTATCTGTCATATTTTTTTTTGTCAAATAAATATACAGTTTTTTCCCTTCTCATCATTATCATTTACCAACAACAAAAAAAAGGAAAAAGAAAAACCGTTTTTCATATTAATTCATTTCGAATAATAATAATAATGATGATTTTGGCGGTGGTGGTATTTTCTTTTTTTCGGTTATTGTGTGTGTGTGTGTATGTCATTCATTGGATTCGTGCCCGATATTATTAATGACTTTTAACAATCATTATGAATTGAATTGAATTGAATTGAATTGAATAAATGAATGTTGTTTTCTTTTTCTTTTTTTCTTTTTTCTGTTTGTTTGTTTGTCTATATGTTTTTCCTGTTTTTTTCCCGAAATGATTTAGTTTCATCATCAGCAGCAACAGCAACAACAACGAAAAGAACGACAAAAATCATCATCAAAACAGCAACAACAACAACAACAACGAATAAAATTGGAACGAAGGCGACAAAATGTTAATCTTCCGTCAACGAAATTTGCAGCCACAACAACAACAGCAACAACATCATCATTGTTAATCAATGATAATAAACAATCAAAACGGAAACGATGGTCAACCAATAGTGAAAAAATTTCATCATCATCACCATCAGCAACAACAGCAAGGAAAAATGGTCAAATCCGTAATAATAATAATAAAATTTTATGTAATGAAATTCTATGTGATTGGGATGAATATTGTTTTATTGTTGATGATGATGATCAATATGGTGATGGTGGTGGTGTACAGGCTGAATGTATAAAGAATCCAAAATTATTGAATAATGATGATGATGATGATGATGATGATTTTAAAATCATTGAAAATGATTTTGATTATGATGATGATGATGATGTTGAAATGATTCAAAAATCTAAACAACAAATGAATGGAAATGTTGTTGATGATGAAAATAGTGTTGGCAACGACGACGACGACGACAACGACGATGATGATGATGATGAAGATGATGATGATAATGATAATAGTGACAACCAAACTATTACTGATAAAATCAATGATGATGATGATGAGGATGTTGAATTATTTCCGGAAATTCATAAAGTTACAACAGTAGTGGCTGATGATGGAAAATATAATCATAATCAACAACAACAGCAAACAACACTGAAACATCCGTCGAAAACTGAACAACATTATTTAAGAAAAAAATTAAACGAAACAAACATCGACAACAAAATTAAGCAAAACAAGAATAAGAATAATAAACCGGGAACTAAAAACAACATCAACAATAATAGAAAAAATAATCGAAATGATGATGATGAAGATGCTACTAGATGGAAAATGATTTCATCTAATCAAATTAATACCATACATCACAATGAACATAATAATGGCAATCAACTAAAACCTAAACAATCTAAACAACAACAACAACAACGAACAAACATTCTAAATAAATTTGAACACCAACATCATCAACAACAACAACAAGGAAATAATAATAGTAGCCAAAATAAATCGAATAACAACATAATTCAATGTCCATCCTGTCCATTTAGTCATGGTTCACAAGTAATTTGTGGTACAGATAATTCAACATATTCATCAATGTGTAGAATTGAATACCATAATTGTATACATGGTTTCGATGTTCGTTTTGCTTGTTTTGGTTTTTGTCCATGTTCAAAATTGATTCAAACAAAAATGATGGCCACAACCAACACCGCAATAGCAACAATAACAACACCGTCGACAAAATCATCAAAATTAAAGCGAAAAAATAATTTCCTCAATAAAATTGATGAAACACATGAAATACATACTTTAAAACAATCAACAAATTCAACAAATTTATTAACAAAACATTCATTAAAACAATATCATTATTTGATTGATAATGATGAAAATGATTCGTTGATAAAAACAAACCATAATAATCAAAATAATAATTTTGAACGAATGAAAGAATGTTCATCAGATGAATTACGTTCAATGGGATTTCGTTTATTGGATTGGTTTGCTGTTGTTATGCAAGAAGAATTAACCAGAATTAAAACCAATATGACAAACAAATTGTTGCAACAACAACGTTTAATGAATAAAATTAATAATAATACATATCTACCGGATTGTGAAGAATCCGTATCATTTATGTTCTATCATTTTGATATTGATAATAATTATAAATTAACATCCAAAGAGCTATATTATCTTGTACATGATGAAAATGAACATTGTCTTGAACCATATCTAATCAAATGCGATGAAGATCATAATCATTTATTAACCATATATGAATGGTGTTCTTGTTTTAGTTTACGTTGTAAGTTTTTTTAATTTTCAGTTAGTTGTTTATTTTCTAAACCTTTTATTATTAATAAAATCTTGAAATTTTCAATTTTCTCAGCCAAACCATGTTTATATCATCAAAAACAACTTATACAACAGAATAATGGTAAAATAATTGAACAATATTTACCACAATGCGATGAAAAAGGTCATTATCGTAATATACAATGTCAACATACAACAAAACATTGTTGGTGTTCAGATAAAAATGGTAATGAAATTGCCGGAACAAGAGTTCATGGTCGCCTTCCTGTCTGTGGTATGTTCAATAATCTTTTTTTGTTCAAAACTAAAATGAAATTCTTATTCTATAATCAAATTGAACTTTCCACTTTCTTTTTTTATTCAATAGACAAAAGTTATCCATTAAATCAATATATGATGAATAAACAGAAAAATATTCACAATAATGTGAATAGTAGAAAACTAATAAATCAACAAAAATGGCCAAAATCATCATCATTATTTAATAATAAAAATTTTGATATCGATAGACATTTGGTTAATGATCATATCAATAATAATCATAATGATGACGAAAATGATGATGATGATGATGATGATAATAATGACAACGATGGCGATAATCATAACAATGACGATAACGATAATGACCACGACGACGACGACGATGATGATGGTGATGATGATGATGATTCATTCCAAATGGATCATGGTTCCGGACATTACGAATCATTCTGATTAATACATTTTTTTTTTGGTTTCTGTTTATTATCATTATCATTTTTTCGATACATTTTTACCAATTTTATCCACTATAGAACAGCAGTATAATCACCACCACCACCCACACAAATGAATGAAAATTTATGATTCAGCATTTGATTAAACCCAAATACACATACACATAGACACGCATAGACAACCCTGACAACCTGAAATGTATTAAAAATTCAATGGATCAAATATCGATTGGGAAGAAACAAAAAAAATTTATACAATACACAGGAGGATATTCGATGATGATGATGAAGAAAAAAAAATGACCAGCATTTTTGTTTTGTTGTACTTCAGGTTGATTGCATCATTTTTCACAATTTTCGTTCAATCCACCTACATTTCTTCTTTTTTGGATGGAAAAACCAGCAGCAAGGAAAAGAAGCATCAAACAAACGACGAAAATGAAATCGAAACCTTTTGGAAAAAACAACAACAAAATTTACTTCAAGTCTTCCATTTGAAATGATTATGTAACCAACTGAATTATTGAACCGCCATTTTTTAAGAATAACGCCAAGAAAGAGATTCTCTGGTGGTCACCATACTGGTCGATAGCTATTTAAATTTTAAACATCGTTTGTTTGTTTGTTTTTTATCATTCAAGAAAAAAAATATTCAAAACAGATGCTCATTTATTATCTAAATGTTCGGGTATTTTGAATATTTCATAACATGATAATCATCATTATTTCGGATAATGGTCAGCACTGGCCAAAAAAAATTGTAAAACCGATTTTGTTTCGATTTCAAATTCATTTTTATTAGAATTGATGATCCTTGAACAAAAACAAAATTCTTGAAAAAACATTCACACAGAAACAGAAAAACATAGAAATGCCAACGAAAACCAATTCCCGAATTGTATTCTATTTATATAAACGAAATGAATAAATTAAATTTAAAATTTATAAAAAAAATATTAAAACACTTCCCTTATATTCACATCATCATCTTCTTCTTACCATCACTATATCAATCTTCATCAAATTGTCATTTTTTTCAATCATCATTTTGTTCATCATCATCATCGGATTATAATGATATTAATAATATTTATTCAAAAATATAATTCTATAAATTTCTAATAAAATTAAATCAATAATAAGAAAACAAAGGAAAGAAAGAAAAATTTTTTTTTGTCTATTTTGATTATGTTGTGCAAACAAAGAACAAAAAAAAAAGAAAAAATATTCAGAAAATTCGAATAGAGTTTGCGCAAATCGATTCGAATTATTCATTCATTCGATTTTTCCGTCTTTTTTCCTCGTTTGTTTTCATCAGAATGATGATGAAATTTCAGATCAAAATACCAGAAATTCTGATTACTATGACTATCAATGATTCCTGTGATTATTATTTTCTTCAATTTTACTTTTACTTTTGATAGATTTTATCATTATGTAAAAAATATATTTGAAGATTCAATTTTCTTTGAAATTTTGATTTGAAATTCACATAAAAAACATATCAATGTTTTCAATAATTGAATTCAAATAATATGCATGTAATAAGATTTTAAAAAAATAAGAATTTTTCGAAACTATATTTTTTTTGTTTGTTTGAAATCAACAAATTCTTTTGTGAATGTTTTATTTCCTTCTTTCTCTCTCTCTTCCTCTTCGTTACCATCATTACCATTGTTCAATTGTAATTTGAATTCCCGAATCATCAATGAAAAAGAAAAACGAAAAATTCCAACTATTCAACTGAAGAATTTTTTCAACATTTTTTTTTTGTTGAATCTCTTTTTTCACATGACAACATTTATCACAAAGAATCGAGAGTATAAGATGTGATGGACAAGCAGAAACTAAAAAAAAAAGAAGGGGCATCATTTCCATTACCTTTTTTTCCACACGAATAGCCAATATTTACAAATAGGGAAACAAAAATTTTATTTTTTTTCAAACAAATTGAAAACTTTTGGTCAATTTGACCAGAAAAAAAGCGAAAGCGAATCTTTTCGTTTATTCACATTCAAGTTGAGCATTCTTTCGTTATCGAATGGTTTATGGATTTTTTCTTCTGGCTGCTGCTGCTCGAAAAAAAATGGATCCATTTTTTGGTGGAACAACAAAATATAAAATCTCTAAGGCTTTTCACAATTCGATACGAATGTCATACGTCTTCGAAGAATCTTGTCATTCATTTCAATACAATTTGATTTCAATCTCTCTTTTTTACCAAAAAAATATATTGAATTCATAAAAAGAAGACCACCATTATTATCATTGTTGTTGTTGTTGTTGTTGTCGATGGATAAAATACACACTCACATCGTTGACTTTTTGGATGCAATAAATGTTTGACAATATCTACCCATAGGTCTTTTTTTCTTCTTGACATTTTCTTTCTTTGAACAAAAAAAAAAAAGTTTTAAAATTTTTTTATTTTCTTTTCAGAACTTAAATTCTTTTCTTTTTGTTAAGAAAAAACATCTGAAAGAAAACCTTTATGTAAGAAGATCTAAACGAATCAAAGAATAAGAGGCCAAGGGGAACTAAAAAAAAAACTGAATGAATGAACAAATTCCTAAAACAACAACAACAACATTTCGATAAAATTGTTTTTGACAAACTCATTTGAATATTCAAATGAATTTTTTTTCTTCTTGCATGCAAAATTTCCAAAATTCTACATGATACAATTTTTGCTTTTTCTTCGCCTTTATTTTCATCTTCTTTTTCAATTAGCAATGAAAAAAGTGAAAGAATTTGAACAACAACAAAAATGAATTTCAATAAAAAATCATTTTTGATTATTGAATATTTAATTGTTATGATTAATCAAATTGGAAAGCAAAATGATGGTTAACGAAAAGAAACTAATGAAATAAAACTCTTTATTAGATTTTCTTCAGATTCTTACTTCAAAACAACTATGACTTTTTATTATTATTAAATAACCCATTGTAACCTAGGTTTTTTTTATCCTTAATCATAAACGATTAGATCATGAATCACAGGGACCAGAACTGAAAAAAAACCATTAGTAAGATATATTGAGGAAAACGAATATCGATATTCATTGATTTCATTCAAATTCAAAGACATTTTATTAATTGTCAATTGATTTAGATTGATGATAATGATCATTTTCGTTGTAGTTATAGTTGTTGTTGTTACTGCTGCTGCTGCTAGGTTTCTGGTCATGAAGAAAATCTATTAATTTTCTCTTCATCAATTTTCTCAGGGTCTAATTTTGTAGATTACATTTGGATACCATATATAGTGTGTTACCAAAAAAAAAACGAAACGATAATCAAAATTCATTGATATTGATACTGCATTCGAGTAATAATTTAACATTAAAATTGATTGAATAAATTGTGTGTGTGTTGAATGAATAAATTAAATCTGTGATCCGAAAAGAAGAAGAAAAAAATTTCGAGAATTTTTCTCGTTAAGCAGGCGTTTCAACATTTATGTAACTGTATAAGTGTACTGTGGGCGTAATTTCAGGCGAATCCAATCTTTTTTTTAAATAGCGGCCACAAATGTTGACGTAATTACCATCAAAGATTGATGAATTTCATACGAAGAAAAAAAAAGCTTTCAAATAAAGCTTCTGATTTTGTTTTTTTTATTCTTCACTGATTATCATCAGGCTATGACAATTACGAAATTGTTATTGAATTTCTGTTTTTTATCTTCTTCTTCTATTCTCTCTCTTTTTTCTCCTTTGTTTGTTATTATTAAAAAACTAGATCCCCAAAAAATACAAACATATAAATATTCATCATTCCCAAAAAATTTTTCATTGGAATTTTCAAAATTAAAAAACAACAAAAACACTCACACAAATCACAGATTGAATCCAAAAGTTTCGAAGAATTTCCTTCTTTTTTTTTCTCGTTCCAAAATATCAAATAGCTATTCTCTTCATTCTTTTTTTTAAAAAAATCATAATTAAATAGAATCGTAGGTTGTTGTTTAGTTATTCAGATTTCAAATTTATTTTTTTTTCATATGATCATCATCATCATCATATTAGATCCGACAAAATTCATATATTTTTTGTTTTGTTTCATATTCAAAATTCAAAAGTGTGAAAAATAAAAATTGATTAAATTGACATATGTTGTTGTTGTTTATTAGAGGAAAAATTATTGAGAAGCCAAATAGAGAATTTATGGAGAAAAAGAGAAAGAGAAAAAAAAATTGATAGGAAAACATATTATGAAAGCAAAGATTAAGTGAATAAAAAAAGATTATCATCATCATCATCGTTGTTGAATTAAATGGGAAAAAGTTTTTCTGTATGAAGTGTGTGTGAGGTGTGTGAGAGGTGTTTGTTTGTTTGTTTGTTCCAGCATACAAATACAATTGAACAGGAACCAGAAAAAATGAAGGTGAAAAAAAAACAACAATAATTATCATTCACTTTTTTTTCCAAATCATTTTCAATGGAAAAATACAATACAAAAATCATCATCAAAACATTTTTGTTGTTGTCATAAGATCTGTACATAAATGAATGAATGAAATTCAAATTATTCAAATTCTTATTCTTAATCACTGTATTGTGTGTGTGTGTGTGTTGTGTTGTGTTCCAGAAAAATCCAGCGGATGAAAAAGAAATTCCTGTAGGCGTGTAATACACATTCTTTCTTTTCTGTTTGTTTGTCTATGTTGACAATCATTATCTGTTGTCAACAATGATAATTATTTTTTTTTTAAAAAAAAGTGAATTTCTTTCATTTACAATTGAAAAAGAAAAGAAAAGAAAAGAAAGGTAGTGTTGCTGATGGTAATGGAAAAAACAGTAATTGTATCTCTCTATCTGTATGTGTGTTGTTAAAAGATTCGAATTTCTTTCGTTTTTCATTGTTTTTTTTGTTTGTTTGTTATCATATTTGTTTTTCATTAATAAATAATAATAATAATAATAATGGATGACGGTAATCATTATTCAGAAAAAACAAACAAACAAACAAACAAAAGAACATTTTTCATTGTCGATGTTGGTGAAATTTGAGATTTGAGGACAAACAAACAAACAAACAAACAACAACAAAAGAACAATATTTTGATGCAAAGATTTTCGTATAATGTTCACAGATGTTAGAATTTAATTTTTTCAGTCCAAAATGAAGACAATGACAATAATAACAATCAGCAAGATGATGAAGTTAGAATTTGATATTATAGAGATGTGTTTGTGTGTGTGTTTTTTGAATCTGTAAAAATATGAAAAAAAAGAGTGAGCTAGCAGGAAACAGAATCGATAAGATAAAAATCTGTGGAAGAAAAAGAAAAGAAAAATAAAATGTAGACAAAAAAAAAATTTTCGAAGACGAAAAAGGAAAATCTTTTGAGATCTTTCATAACAATCATATTTTCACATTCGTAGGAGAAAAAAAATCATCATCGTAATCATCAAATTCATGTGTATCCAAAAAAAACAATAATATACCAAGCAAAACAAAACAAGAACATTGGATTTTTCTTGTATCGTCGAAATATTTTCTTCTTTTTTTTTTGGTAATAATAATTATTTTAATGTGTGTAAAATAATGAAATTTGTTTTCTTCAATGGAAGCGGATGATTATTGATGAATGATTGATAATCTTTTTTTTTGGGGGGTTGTTTGTTGCTTGGTGATTAGAATAATTTCAAGCACGTGTTCCATATTATGAAAGGATTAGAATAAATTCTGTGTTTTTTTTGTTTGTTTATAGAAAAGAACAAACATTGTTCAAGCCAATGTTGATAAAATAAGAATGATAAACGCACAAGAATAAATGTGTGCGTGTGTGTTTATGAATATGAAGGATTCAGAAAAAGAAAAAAAAAAGAAATCACGTGTTTACGACGTGAATTTTAAAATAGCAAGATGCAAAAAATAAAAGGAAAAATTATGATGAATATTCAAGTAGTAATAGTAGTTATTCTGGTTAATTAAAATCTTCTACTTAAGATTTGGCGCATACTTTTTTTTTTGTTTCAAATTGATAATTATGCTTAATGCCAATATGGAGATGGATAGAAACTTGAATTATTATACGGTTTATAGTTTGAATAATTGTTATTCTGCATTGTATCAATGTTGGTAAGGAAATGTGAATCCGAATAATCATCATTGTTACCACGAAAATTTCCATTTGGATGATCTGAATTACGCCAATTTGCATCAATGTTTTGATTACGATTCTTGAAAAATTGACTACCTTGTCCACCACCACCACCATTACCAAGATGAATATTGTTACTGTTTCCACCATTACTACCACCAATACCACGACGATTCATCATTCCACCACTATTGCCACCCATTCCATTTGGATGTGAATTTTGGTTACGATTTTGATGAGCGACTTTAATGTCACATTCTTTACCACCAATAACTTGTTTCGGTACTGAAACGGCCGATTCAGCAGCTTCACCCGTTTCGAAAATGATAAAACAGAATTCACGGCTTCGATTACGTTGACGATCAAATGGTCGTTCGATATTTTCAATCTAGTTCCGAACATTTTAAAGAAATAACAAATTTAAAACAAATAACTATACAAAATACAACATACCGGTCCAAATTGTTCAAAATATGTACGAATCTCATCATTAGACATATCGCCATCAATACCACCGACAAAAATTTTCTTCAAACCATTTTTACCTTTTGGTCGTTTTGGATCAACCGTACGATTTTTGATGACATGCGGTCCAGTTTTCAATACGGCATCAACCGTGTCATCATTGATAAATGTAACAAAACCAAAACCACGTGATCGTCCTGTACTTGAATTATATTTTATTGTAACTTTATCCACCTGTCCAAATTGAGTGAAATAATCAAAAAGATCTTCTGCAAAAGCAAACATATGGTGAAACAAAGAAAAAAAAATGAATAAAAAATCCAAAATATCAACAAATAAAACCAAACATACTTTCTTCCGTTTCCCAGCTCAATCCACCAAGAAAAAGTTTTCTATAATTAGAAAAAAAATCCAAAAATAATTTAGAAAATATCATTCGATTATAATCACATTAACCAACCTATTTTCATCATTACTGGCCGAACTATTACCGCCATTGGTGCCATTACCGAAACGATTATTTGATGAAAATTGATTTGATACTAAACAATCAGCCATTTTCTTGTTAATGTTGTTATTTTTAGATTTTATAACAAACAAAAAAAACAATGTTACAAAATTATGAATGAAAAAGCCTGTTAAATAATAATTAAAATCCAATTGATTCGAATGATAACAAACACACAGAAACTAATCAAAATTTTTAAAACTTTGTTGTTGTCGTTGTCGTTGACGGTGATGCTGTCAAAACAAAATAATATCCTAAAAAATCAAACTCAGGTATAGAAACCGAATAAGATAAAAAAATGAAAAAAAATCAAGAATCAAATCTTAATTAATCAAGCCAATAATTAAAAAAAAAATCAAACAAATTTTAATCAAAATTTAAAAACAAAAACAAAAAAAAAATCCGACACAAAAGATATCGACGACGACAACAACAACAACGACGACAACAACATCATCAACAACGACAGGAAAACAAGGAAAACACACCAAAATGAGAGAAAGATAGAGCGAATAAAAAAAACAAGAAACTCAAATCTTACTTTTGGCTGTATATTCGTTTCCATTATCTCATCATACTCTACCACTATATATCACTAACCATACCACCACAGCCATTATCATCATCATATTAGAGTGAATCCAAAGCAGAAGCAAAGCCATCCATAGCGAGATCAATGAAATTTTGGACCACAACCACCATAGAATATATAGCAGAAGGAAAAAAATGTGTATTTTTAGCAACAAACACACCAAAACGCCAAACATTGAAAACATGAATGAAAAAAATTCTGAAACAAATGAAGGAATTGAATATGAATGCCGAGTAAAATTTGTTAAGCTCTTAAATTAAACAAAAACAAAAACAAAAACAAATCAACAAATCAATCAAGATTTATATGGATCTAGGCGTTAATTAGAAAAAAATAACCCACCACTACCATCAATTCAAATTAACGACGGTAACGATTATTATGGTTGGTATTTAGTATTTATGGTTGTTATTGTTAACAACAAAAAATCCATTGAACCTAAACATTGGATAATTGATGAAAAGGATTGATAGTTTTTTTTTTAAATAATGTCATATGATCCTTGTATATTGTGTCGATGACTTTTGAAAATGATTGGATTATTTGTTAAGACTATTCCGATATATCAGATATCAAATATTTCGTAAACATTGTTGATCAATCAATAATTTGTTGACAGGTAAATGTTTATTTTTTTTTTGTTCATTAATTAACTTTATTAATTAAATTTGAATTTATTTTACATTTTAGATGAAAGATGTTTAAACTGATCACCAGATGGTGAATTATATCTAAATTTTTTTTTCACGAAAAAAAATGAAATTCGGTTCACGTCGTATTAGTTTGATTATAGCTTTTAGTACCGGTTTTATCCTTTGCTTTATTCTTATCAATATTATTTTTGGATCGATAAATAAATCGGCGAAATTAATTGATAATCATTCAGATCAGATAATTGTTAATCAGTTTTTAAATAATTTTGATCATCATTTTCTTATTTGTATTGTGTTCACATCGGTCAAAAATCTTGCCCGTCGTAATTGTATACGTGATACATGGTTAAATTTGGGCAATAATCTTCAATTCAAACATTATTTCGTTATCGGTACGAATGATTTATCATCGGAAGCAAAAATTTCTCTCATAAACGAACAACAACAACATAATGATCTTATGTTATTAACAAATCTTAGTGATACTTATCAGAATTTATCATTAAAATTAATTCAATCATTTCAATGGATTTCTAATCATCATCAAAATAAATTCGAATATCTTATCAAAGTTGATGATGATTCATTTGCACGTATCGATACTATTTATAAATATTTGGAACAAAGAAATCTTAACAAATTGAATAAATTACCATTTTATTGGGGTTTTTTTGATGGCCGTGCTCATGTTAAACAAAAAGGTGTTTGGAAAGAGAAAAATTGGTTTTTATGTGATCGATATTTGCCTTATGCATTAGGTGGTGGTTATATACTATCATATCAATTAATTGAATTTGTTGCTAATAATTCACATTGGTTACAATTATATCAAAGTGAAGATGTATCACTTGGAACATGGTTATCACCATTACATATTGAACGTTTACATGATAATAATTTTGATACAGAATATAAATCACGTGGTTGTATTAATACATTTTTTGTTCAACATAAACAAACTGTTGCTGATATGAAAAATAAATACAATTCATTAATAAATTTTGGTCATTTATGTAAAAAACAAATTGAACAACGATTTACATATGAATATAATTGGCATGAACTTCCTTCTAGATGTTGTATAAGAAATAAAACAATGCTGTGATTTTTTTTTTTCGTTGAATTTTATTTTAATCTGTTTAAACTAATGAATAATAACAATAAAAATAGCATTGACAACAACTATCAAATTTCATAAATCAATCAAATGAAGTTGACTTAAAATCAATATGATAAAAATAAGAACAAGAAATATTGATATGATAAAAGTTGGCCGTACCGGAATCATTAATAATCTTGCCTTTAAATTTAAACTACTTGTATATGTTAATAATGAATCGAGATCATCTCTTGCTGTTCGTTGATAACAGAATGGCCTAGCACAAAGCTCATGGCCAATGTCGATGATCGATTGACAGGCGTTGGTCAATCTTGCTGCCTGTAATAATGGTAACAATAATAACAATGACCAATAAATCATTGATGAAATTGCCAATATTAATAAATGCCATTCAACATATAAATATTTGGCAAACATATCCAACATTGTAACTGATGCTTTAGTTGTTATATAAATCATCAACAATGATACGCTCAATGAATAACGATTATTAAGGAAATTGATGTTCATTTTGAATATTTCTGTATTTTTGGCAAATTCCTTTGAATGTAATTTGAAAAATTAGTTTGTTTTTTTTTTTGTTAACTCTAAATTGAATTGTGATATTACCTGAAAATTGATTCGTTTTTCTCGTATAGCTGTAATATTCATCTGAATAAATAGAATATTCATCTGACAATAAAGTGCATAAATGATCATAATTGAAATATGTATTAATTCAATTAAAGAAAATAATATGAAACATAATAATTTTATCCATATTAATGGTTTTGGTAGCCAATTCAATTCATCTGGATCAATAAAACCAAATGAAACATCATCGAATAAAAATAAACGTAAAGCAAATTGTATCATAATCAATGATAAACAAAGAAAAATTGCTAAAATCCAATTTCGTACAATTTTTTTGATTTGAATACTAGCTTTTTTATGACCAATAATTTTTGTTGCTAATAATAAATTCAATAGACATAGATTCTGGAAACGATCTACTTCACAGCAACGTAAATGTTTCAATACAATTGAATATGATATCAGATGAATAATAGCTGGTAGAAAATAATGAGCCATTGCCGATCCTTTACAATGTAAAAATATTTGAACACGATTCAATAAAATTTGTTCATCAATTTCATTGGTAAATTCATGATTAATATCCTTAAAAATTTGTGTCAAATTCAAAAACTGATAACTATGATTCAGTTCTAAATGATAATGTTGATGAAATAAATCAGTGATTGCTACATCATTTTTAGTATTGATAATATCGGCATCTAACACATTCAAAGTACCAAGATTATCCTGACGAAAACATGATACATATTGAAGAAGATGACCAACACACATGAACATAAGCAAAGACATCAGATGAAATGAATTGATAAACATTTGACAACAATTAAAACCAAAACAATCAAATTTAAATGGTTGCCAACCCAATAGTATGAGTAAACGTCTATAAGGTGTTAGAATTTCATTATGACAATATTCTAAAGCTCGTGTAATTGATGGTCGAAATTCTTGTTGATTAAACGAACCGGATAGATTTGTTTCATCTGTTGTCAAAAAACTTGTCGATTCATTGGCCAAAACATTATTTTGATTCCGATGACGATTATGTCGTCGAATATTCGGTTGTTGTTCTTCGTTATTCATCCACAATTTTAATAATGGAATATTTTTCCTGGACAATTGATCGGAAATTTTTTCACTTTTTTGACTATTATTATAAGAATTTGTCGATGATATTGGTAATAATGGATAATATGATGATGATAATGATGATCTAATTTGATTATTGTTGTCAAGAATTGTTTTTGTTTTAGAAGTGGTGATAGAAGCGGCTGCGGCGGCTGCTGCGGTTGTTGTCGTTGTTATTGATGTTAATGTGGTCGATGTTGTTGTTGTACATAATGAACCATAATAATGATAATGATAAAAATGTTGATTATTATTATTAGCTGTTGTTGTTGCTGTCAATGTTGAATTTGTCAATGAAGTTACGGGCATTTGATGTCGATGATTATCCATCATGTTGATTATTCGTTATTGTGATGATTTTGTCTAAGTTATTTTTGCATTTCTGAAAACATTTTTCTTAAATTTTTTATTTATTTTCAACAAAAATAATTGAAGAAATTCAAGTGCAAATTAAAAGTGACATAAAATATCGTCACTTTTAGCGGAATTATTTGTTTTTTATTGTCATGTGTGTTCATTGGAAAACAAAACAAAAAAATTTATTATCAACGATTGTTTTTCTATTGTTTGACCATTAGTGTTGAATATAAATATTTTTTTCATAAAAAATGTCGCCTGGATAATATTTGTGTTAAAAGATTACCATCCGGATCATATTGAACGATTAATGCAGCCGGTACAATACCTTCGGTATGATTACGAAATAAAACGAATGCAAGAATCAAACCAAGTAAACAATCGCTTAATACTATCGTTTCACATTGTATAAAGAAAAATAAAGGGAAAAAATTGGATTAAACTTATCTTCCTTCGGTAAAGAATAAATAATTTACCTAAACTAGTACCAATTGGATGTCCATTTGTAATAAATGCAACAATAGTCATAAGAAATAAAACAGATGAATAACTTCCCAATATAATCGATTCAAAAAGATACCAAGGAAAATTATAAAAATAGATAATCAATTGACATGTATAGATGGCAAATATTAATCCATAAACTATTAATCCCAAAATTAATGCTATAATATATGCAAATTTAAATTCACAAAATTCCATTTCCGATAATTCATCTTGCAAAGATTTTGACAATGTTGATGATTCGGATGATTCTATGTTCGATTTTAGTCCATTATTGTTATAGAATGTTGTTGTTGTTGTTTTTGTTAGATTATTATTTGTAATGAAGGTAGTATTTAATGATTCAGGAATCATTAATAAATAAACACATGAATCAGTAAAATAAACACACATGGCTAAAAATAATGTAATTATAATGTACAATTTTAAACAATTACAATAACCAAAATTTGGCTGACAAGAATCGGATGGATCAAGCATCGGTTGATCTTGTGCTCTATCCGATAATTTTCTTGAATCTGAATCAAAATCATCAGGTAAAAATCTTCGTACAAATTTTTTCAAACCAGTTTTACAATATTCATCTTCATCATTTGTTAATATTATTGATGAATGATTTGATTTCACTGATTTTAATTGTTCTTGTTGTTGTTCAACTTCATTAATATTATTCAACGTTAATGATTTAGTTCCAATACTTTTTTCTTCTAATGATTGTGAACATCGTTTTGATTTTTTTCTCGATTTTGATCTTGATTTTGATTTTTTTCTCGATTTTGATCTTGATTTTGATTTTGATCTTGATCTAGATTTTGATCTGGATTTTGATTTGGATCTTGATTTCGATTTAGATTTCGATTTAGACTTTGATTTATGTTTTCTTCGCTTTGATTTAGTTGGTTTTGTTTCAATATCAACAAGCGAATCATTTTTCAACGCCGGAACTTCCATTAATGAATGACTAATTTTTTTTTTGGCCTGACAAAAGAAACAATTTTTTCTACAAACCGCAATGTTTTTATTTATATAAAATTTTGTTGTTTGTTCGCTAAATTTATTCAAACAAAAAACTGTTTTTAATTTCTGGAACTTTTTTCGTTCTCCCTCTCTCTCCCATTAATTGTTGTTGTTATCGGTGGCACAAAAAGTTTGACACATAATGAATTTTTTTAAACAGAAAAAAAATTGAAATTCGATTTATGAATAATATTGTTGCCAAAAAACAACCTTGAATAACATTAGGACAAGGCAAACCATATTTGATTTGATTTTACTGTTCGATCACTTCCTATTGAATTTGTCAAACACAATGATTACTTTATAGTGGATAATGATGTTAAAGATTTTGAAAAATAAAATTTCATTTTTCCATCATTATTCCATTTGTATTCAAATGCTTTTTTTCCCTTTTTTCGATTGGATTTTAAGGTCGAATTTTGTTTTCTGAACATCAATGACATCACTAGTGGAAAGAGATTATCTTCGGAAACAAAATTCATTCGTTCATTTAACCACCATTTCCTTTTTTACATAAGTACAATGATGATTCAAACAACAACAATAAACTCTCTCTGTGTGTGTGTGTGTGTGCCATATTTCCATGCTGTCCAATGATCATCAATTTTATTTTATTTCTTTGCGTTTTCTGACCACACTCAATTGTAATAATAATAATGTTTCAAACAAATTGTTTGACATGCACACACACACACACACAAATCAAATCAATTGTTTAGAAATAAACTTGTTCCAAAAAACTATATTCAAACACACTAGACACACATTTAACAAATTTTTTGTGCCAGTAAAAAATGAAAACGATCAATTGTTTTCTCATCCATTCTTTATGATGATGATGATGATGATGATAGAAAATAAAAGTAAAAAAAAGTGAGAATAAATATGAAAAAAAGGTGGAACCAAATCATCATCGAATGATAACCGCAAACAAAATGGAAAAAAAGATTTCAACAAATTTCATTCTTCACTTTAGTGAAGAAAGAAAAATTATTATCATCATCATCTATTTGTCCGTTTCTTATATGTTTTGTATGTTTCAAGTGATTTGTCAAATCAAGAAAAGTAGTAGAAGAAGCAATTCGATTTGTTATTTGTGATGATGATGATTGTTAATGTGATGATCGATAAATTTGTTTCCGATAAATATTCATCTATAATCAATGATTGTTTAGTCTGTGTGTTTATGTGCGAAACCAAATATCGACATAACTTTGTTACTTTGTTAAATCATCATGAATAATAAAAAGATTAAAACCTTTAGTAATGATTCTGTTCAACCATACGATTGGAAATGGAATTGGTCGTTTATCATTCCGTTAACTATTGGTCATATTGGTGCATTATTTGGAATATATTTGGCTATTTTATATGCATCAATTAAAACATTAGTATTTTATTTTATTCTTATACAATTCGGTGCAACCGGTATTATTTGTGGTGCTCATCGTTTATGGACACATCGTGCTTATCGTGCACATTATATTTTAAGAATTTTTCTTATGTTATGTCAAACATTAGCATTACAGGTTAGTATTTTAATGCGATTTGTTTGTTTTGATCTATCTCGATATTTATTGTTTTATTGAAAAAAAACATAGCTTAGTATACTTCAATGGTGTCAATTTCATCGTGTACATCATAAATTTTCGGATACGGATGCTGATCCACATAATGCAAAACGTGGATTTTTCTTTTCACATATGGGATGGGTATTAGTTGATCATCATCCAGAATATAATGAAAAAAGTCAAAAAATTGACATGAGTGATTTAAAAAATGATCCTATTGTTTGGTTTCAACATAGATTCTATGTTCCATTGGTATTGTTTATCTAACTCTTTATGATGATATTTTGAATTAAAAGTTTGTTTGTTTTTTCCCACAGGTATTACTGATAACATTTATGATTCCAACATTAATACCATGTTTATTATGGAATGAATCGTTAATGAACGCTACATTTGTGAATTTATTTCGTATAGCATTATCATTGCATCAAACAGCATTAGTTAATTCGGCTGCACATATTTGGGGTTTAAAACCATATGATGAACGTATTAAACCAACTGAAAATAAATTTACTACTTATGTTACAATGGGTGAAGCATATCATAATTATCATCATGCATTTCCATGGGATTATTCTGCATCAGAATTTCGTTGGGATGTTAATTATAATCCAATGACAGCATTTATTGATATTTGTGCATTATTAAATCTAGCATGGGATCGTAAAAAAGTTGATCGAAAAATGATTGAAGAACGATTAAATAAACATGGAAATCAACAACTAATAAATATAATTGATAGAAAACCAAAAAGTTTATTGTTCGATACACTGTTCGGTGTATTGACATTATTCTGGGCTTTATGGATGTTGTTAGCATTACGTTTTCTATTTTATTCATTAAATAACTCATCAATAACTCCACAAAAGTTATTATAGAATAGGTGAAAGTGCAATAATTTCCTTTTTAAAAACTTAATTATAATTACATTCCAATGTCGTTATTATATTATTTTTGTTTGTATTTTATGGTGATCATGACAATGATCATAAAAAAATTTGTTAATAATAATAATAATTTCAAGATTATTTAAGTCGGCTTTTGTTAATTTTGATGATAACATTGATAATTACCTATGTTGAAACTTATGTTATTTGTAATAAAAGAAAATTTATTTCTGATAATGAATTGGTATATTATAGTAAGAAGGATATTAGTAATCCATCCTGGATTTGTTTTGATGAGATACGTGTGAGAAAAATAAAGAAAATTCTTAAGCTGTCAAATTAATACTGTTGTTGTTGTTGTTGTTGAAATGATTTGACAATTGATTTTTGTCATCGTGTGTGTGTGTGTTTGTGTGTTGACAATCATAACAACAAAATTGTAATAATAAATGTCTCTAATAAATGATTTTTATTTCTCGAAAATAAGGTATGTAAAAGAATTATTTATGTAAAAATATTCCAATGTAGATTACAAAAGTGTTTGATAAAGCTGAAAGCTGAAATTTTTTTTTATAACCAACCAAATCAATGCCATCATTTGAAATGTTTGGTATATGTGTTTGACAAATAATTTAATTACAACAACAACAAAAAAAGTATCACAGCCAAAATCATTATCATATAAATGAAACGAAATTATTCAGACAGAAACACAGACATACACACGATGAAATTGTTTCATATTCATGAAAAAAAAATTGTATACCAATGATGACGACAACTTATACTTGAACGGTCGAATAATTTTGAGGCCAAATCATTTATCAACAACAACGACAACAACAAACGAATGTAAAAAAAACTGTTACAAATAACAATTGTATACAACACCTATGCATGGTGGAAAAAAAAGGTGAATAAAAATTTTCATTATTATTCGTTATGGCAAATAATTGAATAAAAGAAAATAATAATTTTTGTTGTTGTCTCTTTCAAACGAGAAAAAAAATGGTTCCGAATGAAATGAAATTCCGTTTTTTTAATGATGATGCATCAACCAAGTGACAAATATACGTAGCCAACATTTAATGATTCAAAAAAAAAAATTTGCATTTCTAAAATGCATAAAGTAAGTTCAGAATATAGAGAGAGAAAAAAAAGTGACAATTGCAAAGGTATTTCATGATTATGATGAAATGACAAATTTACAAATGAAAAAAAAAATGGTTGTAAAAATAAATATGAAATGAAGGGTCGCTCCCAAAATCATTCAAACGAAGAACGCATATAACAGGTGTGTGTGTGTGTGCGTGAATAACAACAGGTTATGTCCGGTATGACGAATGATTCATCATCTTCAATCTGTTTGATTATAGATTTTTGGTTGTCAAAACAAAAAAAAAATGTCAATTTTTTCAGCATTATTGTTGTTGACGTATGTTGTTGTTGTTGACGTATATCCACTATTATTTTTTCTGCGATCTTCCAAATGTTTTTCATTATTATTATTATTATTTATATTTCGCCCATTATATTTTTCGTTGTCTCTCTGTTTATTGTTTGTCGGTCATGGTTGGTTTCAAAGTGATAGCCAAGAAAAGAATAACTTAAAAAATCATTCAATCGATTCTCATTTAATAACAACAATATATTTGCGGAGTAAATGACACCAAATGATACGAATGGTCATCATCATCATTTTTGATTAGTTTTGATTGGATTTTTTCTTTTTCGTTTGAAAACATTAAAATCATTCTAGTCGAATGAATTTATGATTTTCAAAAAAAAATTCAATATTTTTTATCGATTATGTTTAATAGAATTGCTGTTTTTTTGTTTGTTTGTTCGAAAAAATGATACATCAAAAAAACTATCGATTTTTAAAAATAAAACTAATTTTCATTCCATAAATATCAAATTGATTCAATGAAAATCTATTAATCTTGTTGTTTTCAAATTGGTTTTTTTAAAAACTTCAACTGAATAAAACATTGATTTTGATTTATGTTTTTTTTGCTGCTACCATTATTGCCGTTATTATTTGTCATTATTAGTTTTGACATTCATTGATCGATTAAAATTTTTTTAAATTCTGATCGATACGGATCGATAAATGAAAACAAAACAATGATAAAATCAATAAATTGATACAATTCACACACACACACACACCATCAGATTATCGGTTTATTTTCTGTCAAAATTCCAATCATATTTCAATCAATAATTTTTAACCCACTATGTTAATGATCAAAAAAAAAATCATCAATTAAATTTTGATTGGTTATTATTAAAACGTTATCAACAAATTCATTGAAAAGGATTTGAAAATGATAATTTCTTTCATTTTTTCTCGGTTCAATAATTATCAAAACGTGTTCTGTGTGTGTGTTCATGCAATCGGAAAAATAGAATTAAAATTTTCCCTTTTTTCCCACCTGCTTGAAAACATTTGTGAATGAGAAGAAACGAATGCCACGCAAGCTATGGCGCCCAATTTTTTTCTTCTCCATTATTATTCACTTCACTTCATTCATTTTGGTTTACTCCCAGTACGAAATGAAAAGAGATTTTTCCTATTTATTCGTCTGTTTGTTTGCATCCAAATGTCTAGAAAAAAAAACATTGTTTTGATGTTGATGATATTCATTTCAACAAAAAAAAAATCCTGTTGAAATATACAACAAGTGTCTCTCTGTTTCTCTTTCATTCAATTCTCTTAATTTTTTTTTCTGTTTGTTGAATTTTTCAGTTGTTCAAAGTAAGAAGAAGAAAAAAAAATCTATTGTAGTTTGATATTCACTCAGGTCAGGTAAACCTGTGTTTGCCAATATATGTGAATGCCACAAATCATTGTTAGCTGACTGATTCGGTTTTTTTTTTTTGAAAATGTAAACAGGTATGGTATGTGTTCACTATCATTTTATTATTATTATTGTTGTATAAGATATATCCCATTATGTTCTCCTCTATCCATCTATATCTATTATACAGTTTGAATTTATCCACACAAAAAAAAGATTGTTTATCGCTAACTTTTAAATGCATTTGCCTATTTTTTCGCAACAACAACAACAACAATAATGAAGAAAGAAAAAAGTCAATTTCTAAATCCATCATCATCATCATCATCATCGTTTTTGGACCATTGCGCCCTAGTGTTATTTACAGATTAAACAACAACAACAACAACAACAACGTTGAAATTGATGATGACAACATAATTCTTTTTTTGTTTGTTTGTTTTACCCACACGATTGTAAAAGATGATGATGATGATGATAATGATAGATTAAATATGTGGTAATTTTTTTTTCGATGTGCGTCCATCCATCCTCCACATAAACAAAGAAAAATCCAACATTTCTGTTTGGCCAACAATAAAACAACGATAATGATGATGATGATGATGATGACCGATCAAAATCTTTACCGACCATTATCATCATCATCATTATTATAACCTAAATGGATTTTTACCTTCGAATGATCTAGTTTTTTTGTTTGTTTATTTATTTGTTGCTTATTTATTTTTGGTTACCAAATTTCATCACCAAATAATTTTCTTTGTTTTGGCCAAATTTCTTTTTTTTTTTTTTGGTCTACGAGAAATGAAAATGAAAGATTGGTCGATTTTCTTTACCCTTTTCTTTTTCTGAAAGAAAATCTTTTTCTTCACTTGTTTATGGATCATGTTCTTCACAATCAATTTGATTTGATGGATTCATTTGAATTATGATGGTTAGCCGGTTGTTTTCTTTTCAACATATTCATAATGATATTTTTTTCGAAAAATTATCAGAAAATAAAATAAAAAGCTTGTTGAAATGTTACACAACATCAAATATTGAATTCAAAAAAAATGAAAATGATCATTTCGTTCCAGTTGTCATTATTGATGTTTTCATAATGTTGAATGAATGAACCAAAAAACTTTCATAACATTTTCCAACTTTCTACGGAAACAAAACTTTGGTTTAGTTGTGTTGTGTGATTTTCTATTACCGCCGACCTGCAAAAAAAAATATATCAGGTGCATAAATGAGTGAACAAAATTAACTTTAGAAATAAAACAAAAACAAAAAAAAACATACTAAATTCATCCATAAACACATTGTTCAAAAAAAGTGTGTTTACATTTGATGATTTTTTTTATTTTTATTTTCAATATTACTATTATTGACGATATGTGTTCATCATCGGTTATTGTTCCGCTTCCTATGTTTGTTGAAGATGATGATGATGATAATTGGTTATATAATAATAATAAAGATCTCTATGTGTTTGTGTGTACACCTGTACACCTGATCGAAAAAAGAAAGGTAATAAAATATTCTAGGAAAAATGAAAAATTTCCCTTTTTTTCGATGAAAAAATTTTCCATTTTTTTCTTTCTTTTCATCATTCACATAGGCATTGACATCTTCATTTTTCGTTAGTTTTTTTTTCACAATAACTTCGTGATTAGTTTGTTATTTTTTTTGCTGAAAATTTTTATTTTTATTTTATACATCGTCATCATAATTATCTACGTCGAACATTTTTATGATTTTGGTATCTATAGAATTGATTCGATCATATAACGAATCATCATCATGTTTTATGGTTTGTTTTTTTTTCTACAGTTCAATCAGAAAAAAAGTCGGAAATTTTGTTTTTTCATTTCATTTCATTTCAGAGTCGGTAAAATAACAACAACCGAATAATAATAAGTTATGAGAACAACAACAACAAAAGAAGCAACAAAAAAAAACACACAGATATTCAACAACATCGGATCATTGGATCTATTCTTTTTACCTTTATCATTGATCAGTTTTTTTGATGATTTGTATCACCTGTATGTGTGTGTGTGTGTATGCTTGGTTTGTTGTTATGTGAATGTTATTTCATTCATTTGATCAGATTGATTCGATAGTTTTATTATTTTTTCTATTTCTAATTTCAATCTTTAACATTATTTTCGCGAAACATATATTTTGCCCCTCATATTTGATTCAATGATTCAATCGTAACGAATTGAAATCAAATGTTACTGACGTGTTTTATATTTTTGATTTGATTTGATTTTTGGCTGACCAAAAAAAAAAGACGTCAGTCAAATAAAAAAAAAACTTGTTGAAACCAAACGAAAGAGTTTTTTCTTTCTGGAGAAAAGAAAATGAAAATCGTGAATGAAAATGAAATGAATGTTTTATATTCATCCACATCATCATCATCATCACTGTCATATATGCTTTTGTATCTTTGAATCTTTAATGATCTACCACTACGATTATTATTATTATTATTATCATCATTATATCATCTCTTTTCGAAATAGGAAAAAAAGTAGAGGAAAACAAAAAAAAAATCAAGTCTTTAATGTTTGTTACGACAACGATGGTCAACGAAGACAACAACAAAAGCCAATTTTTAAATGTTATATTTTTTCATCATCAATTTGGAAAAATTTTGAGCTTTTTTTTCTGTTCCATTTTCGATTTCATAACGATTTTTTCGAACCATAATTTTTTCGACCTTGTTTATAATTAGCTCTAATCAAATGACAAATATTATCAACAAACGATTACGACAAACACAACAACAACAATATCAACGACAATTGATTTTACGACGTAGTGAAAATTTATTTTGTTTCAAATTTTACATCATTTATAACATTATTTACAAACAATTCATTTCTAAAATTAAATTCAATTTTTCTCATGTGATTTTAAAATGATTATCGTCAACAACGTTATACGTCGTATTTGAATATAACAACAATAATAAAAAGAGTTTATTCCAACACGTGTTTGTTTCTGTGATAACGTTTTTTTTTTCATTTTGATAACCGCTATCTTTTTTTTTGTTTGTTGATAATACATTTTGTTGCTTGAAAAAGAAAAATTATTGACAAACGTTATAATTGAATATTTTTTTTTCTTTTCTTCCCCTCATCATACGAATTATTCGGGCGTATATTTTTTTACGTTGACTTATTACTATTTATTTATTTATTTATTTGTGATCGACCTATTCTTTAATTCAAATCTGATCGATTGATCAGGTCAATGGATCAATCGATTGTAATATCGATTGGAACAATATTTATTTCAATAACTTAAATAAAACAACATTGATGTTAACGATCAAGAATCGGTTGTTGTTTTTTTTCTCAATATGATCGACAATATGTCAACGGTCGTTCATCAAAATTATTTTCGTTGTGATAATGATGTTGATGATATTCATCATCATCATCGTCTTCATCATCATAATCGAGCTAAAACAACGACCGCATTCGGAACATCGACATCGATGCCCATCATTAACATAAAACCATCACAATCAAATCCTTATCATAATCATAATGAACAATTATCAACCGTCATATCATCAACATCCTCATTAATATTGCCATCAACGCCTACCAATGGCCCTCCTATTTCATCAAAAATACCAATAGCAAAGACTAAATTATCATCAACATTGCCACAATTATCATTATCATCAACATCAACAAATACATTGAATTTTATAATGAATACATTTCAATGTAATATCAATCAAGAACAGGCATGGGCGTTAATCTATCAATCAACCAAAACATTGAATGAATTGTTGATTCAATTCGAACGAAATGAAACAAAAATAAATGGTGGTGAACTTTTGTTACGAAAGTTGACTTCATTCTCACAAATTATATTCGATCATAATGGAAATGTATGCGAATCAACATGGACAATTTCGATTGATAATAATGGGAAAAAATTTATGCCCACAACTAATAATAATTCGGAAAATGATGAAAACGATAATGATATACTGTTATTTACTAGAAACGATGATAAACGTTTGATGAATGAATCAATTAATGGCTTGATTGCTTCATTAGCAACAATTATCTATTCGGCATTAGAATGGAATTGGAAAAATTTCCAGCTGTCATCCGATCAAAAGAAAAATAATGATAATAATGATGATGATGATGAAGAAGAAGAAGAATTAGACCTTGAAGAAAGTCTTGAACTATTAATGCTTTCGATGATCCGTGGATCTGAACATAAAGATCTTGTTGACGAAGGTTATATTGATGCTATGGAAGAAAGTTGTCTCAATTGGGTTCTAGTCAAATGTGAACAACATTTTCAAACATTGATACAATCTTCCGAAAAAAATGCAACAATAGAAATGTTATCGACCAAGAATCAATTAGGTGTTGATTATTATTATCAAACTATTTGTAAGATGATGATGGATGAGGCTATTAAATTAAGTAAATTAGTCAATCAATTTTATGATCAAACAATACCAAATCGACAATTGAACAAATTATTTGATTCATCTAATCTATCAACATCTTCGTATCAGCAATTGGATACAGAAAGTCTTAAAATTTGGGCACAAACCTGGATAAAAGTTATGTCTGAACTTCGATTTGGTGTCCGTCTTCGACCAGTTCCTCTAAATGATGATCATATTCACAATGATAAATCAAAACTAGTGGAACAAAAATCTTCCATCAAAAATAACGAATTGTTAAAACATATCGAAAATATTCGTGAAAATCTACGAAAAGCAGCTTATCATAATAATGATGAATACGGACCATCATCGTTACAATCATTACCAGTAATGTTTACACAAGAATCAATTGCTGAAAAATTGAAAAATTTAAAACCTCCTTCCGAAAGACGTAATCTACCGAAATCATCAAAATTTTTTCAAAATAATGAACCATGTCTTCATGATCGTTTAATGTCGGCTATTCAAAATTTTGATCAAAGTCGATTACGTTCGACTCAAACTCAAGTGAAACCTGATATACGTAAACTTTATCTTTTGGAACGTGAACAACGACGATTATGGCAGCGACAAAAACATTGCAAATCTCTTTGGAATATATATGGTGTTAATGATAATAAAAATCCAGAGGAAACATTTAAAAAGACGCCAACCATTAAACGAAAAATGTTTTCACCGGGTAAGTTTATAGGAATTTTTTCTTTTAATCATTATTTTAATATTTTTTCAATTAAGATCCTCGTAAACCATTATCTAGGACAACAAATTATTCATGTCAAACAGCACCCAGATCTCTTATCAATTCTATTCGTCCTGCATTATCGCTTAGTCATTTGATCATGAATGATTCGACAATGGCCTATCATAAATCAAATATGAATATTCAAAATCAATATCAACAGCAACAATCACAAGAAAAGAACAAAAAGAAACGATTATCATTAAAAGAAAACAATATTCATCATCAGATTTTAATACGAACATCGACACCGAAATCTCGTGACAACAATGATATGAATAATAGTTCACCAAATTTTGAAATAATTAATGATTCGAATTTTATTCATTCGAATGACGTAATACAATCGCCTGTGTTATGCAATAGCTATGAAAGTTTACTAGTCAATAATACTAATTCCATTTGGAACAATGAAAATGATGATACTTTTTGCAAAAGTATTTGTCATCATAATCCTCGTAAAAATCGATCTTCATTGCATATAAAACAATCGGAACAATTATTATACATCGATGATGATGATCAACAACAACAATTGAATCATAATCCATTATTTCGTAGAAGTTTCATACGAAAACCATTGACTGCTAATTATGCAATGTCCAAAACATTTCATCAACAAAATGAACAACCACGAAGGTCACGTTGTAGTTCATTTTCTGTGTTACCAAAACCAACGGATAAACTAAAGAATTTTGATTATTCTGATCCAACAACGCCAACCTCAACAACAGATTTCCTTGGATTTCGTTCATTCATGAGAAAATCACCATTTCGTTCATCATTAAGTCTTGTCTGGTCGAAAATATTCGGATCACCGAAAGAAAATTCACAACCGGAAGAATTATCTTCCGATAAATTAAAACAAGATTAATTGATTTATTGCAACAATTAACATTACATATCTTTAATTTGATAATTTGATTTTTGTCTTGTACAGAAAAAAAATAATATTTGTCGATTAATTTCTGTAATTTTTGATAATGATAAAAGTAAATATGAATAAAAAATAAAAATTTTTAATTGAAAAATATAACTTTGCACATTAAAAAAAAGGGTCGATTTTTAATGAATTTTTCCAGTGTTATAGCTTGGTAATGAAATCTCTTGAATCACTTGAATGTATTGAAATGGTTGATGGATTCTTTTTATGATTCGATGTTTTTGTGGATTGATTGTTTTTATTATGATCAAGCATTAAATTTTCATCATCTTCATATGCTTCATTTGTTAAACAATCCAATGAATTATGAACAGATTGTGGTAATGATATTGATTGTTTACAATTATCATTATTATCATTTTGTCGATCATTATTATTACCATTACGTTTATCTTCATAATTATTGTTCGCTGTTTCATTATCATCGGCATCAATGAGTATTACATTTTCTTCTAAATTTTTACCAATTTGAATGTTTGTCTGATTATTATTTTTATTGTTGTTGTTGTTATTGTTAATGTGACCGATTGCATGAGATGTATGTCGTGGAAATGTTGATGTGGAATAATCTTTTCGTTGTCGAATTCTGTCATCAACCAGAATGCCATCATCGTCATCATCATCATCGTCGTCATCGTCCTCATTTTCATAGTCAATATCGTAACGACAATCATCTAAATCATTTAAACTAACATTTAAAGATTTGCTTGCATATTTTTTCTTCATCTGTAATTGTTTAGCAAAATTTTCATCATTGTTATTATTATTTTCATTCGATGAACAATTTCGTAAAGCAGCATTCAATAAAATTTGATCTTCACGTTGATTTAGAATATCCAATTGTGTTAGCTTCTGTTGTAAAGATTTCTGTTAAACAATAAACAATAATATTATGATCATGAAATGAATTTTGAATTTTTCACAACAAACCTGTAACTTGATAAATTCTAAATGAAGTTCGATTTTACGAACACAATCTTCAAACAATACAACTAAACGCATTGTTTTTTCACAAGAATTAATGTAATTGACTAGCGTCTGATGATCAGCTCTTTCGACATCACGTCCATTGATTGATAGAATAACATCACCAGGACGCATACCGCCACGGAATGCTGGTCCACCATAGGTTACTTCATCTACATAAGTGATCAATTCAATTTCTTGTCCATGTTTGATGCCATAAGTCTGTTTTGATTAATAAGAATAAAGTTACAACCGACATAATAGCCGAAAAAAAAGATAACAAACCTGTAATGTAAAACCGAATGAATTTTTCTGTTTTTCAATGATAATTGTACGTCGTCTACGATCTTCATCAGGTTGTGTAATTATCATTCTATCCGAACGAAGTGATCGAACTAATTCTTGACTAGATGTTGAATATAATGATGTTGTACCACTTTCAGAATTGGTACGTTTTTTCATATGATTTTTTTGTGTTTTATTTGTGAACAATATATTACTGGCTTTCGAATGTTTAACAAAACGATTCGATTTCAAAATTGGTAATATTGGATTTGCACGAGTATGATGGTGACGTTTAGACGAAGATTTTTGTGATTGTTGTTGTTGTTGTTGCTGTTGATTATTATTATTATTATTAACACCAGAAATAGTGATAAATGTCGAACTTGATATGCTACCAGTTTCAGTTTGTTGTTCATACAATTCCGATGATGATAAAAATGATTGATTTGTATCAATCGAATGAATTGCAAATGAATCATGTGAATGATCAGATGAAGATCGATTTTGTAATTGTTCATTGACTAGATCAGAATTATCATTAACATTAACATTATTAGTTTTTATTGTTGTTATTGTTGATGTTGTTGGTGTTGTTGTTGTATTTGGAAATTCTGGATGTCGAACATCCGTATCATCAGCCGTATTTGGTGTTGAACAACATTCATTTGATAATTTTGAACATTCACTATCGCATAATTTTTCCACTTCTTCATCATCATCATCTGAATGATCTTTACGTATCATAATACCAGTACTTTTTGTCTTGATAAACGAACGAAATGCTGTTGCCGTTGTGTTCGGTAATAACATTGTTGCAGGATTGGAATCATGAAAATGATTATGTTTATAATGATTTTGTTGATGATGATGATGATGAATATTCGATGATTGTGATGTTGATGATGATTCCTTTTCACTGCACAATGATGTTGTACTTACCGAACTGATTTTCGTTTTATTTAGCTTCATTCAAATGGTAGTTTTTTTTCTATTTTCAATACTAATCTTATTTTTTTTCTTAAATATCAATCATTCATTCATCATTAGTAAATGTTGTAATGATCAATGTTGTAATAGGTTCGATGACATGATTATAACGATATTTTTTTTCATATTTCGTAACAACAATAACAAAAGATGAAACACCTGATCTACATATATGGTATAACGGTACTTTTAAATAGTTTTTTTCTTCATAAGATGTAATCTTCATTTAGTTGCAAAAAAATATCAACAACAATGATAATAAACAAAGTTTTGAGCAGCTTAATTTCGAAAAAAATAGAAATTACAACAACAATATCATCGTAGACCACGACGTCATATAGTCGAAAACAACAACAATCACAAAAGAGAAAAAGAGTGGTATAATTGAAAATTGAAATGACAGTTGTATCCACCACACACACATACACACATACACTGATATATTGATGCACACATATACATGTGAATGAACGGTGAAAAAAAAACAGGACAACGACGAAACAGGATCATTCATTTTGGGAGTTATATAATCATAATAATGATCTGAATGGATGAATGAATCTATGGCCAAACGATATATTATATATAGAACAGAAATTGAGCGCGCAATTTTTCAAATTGTAGCGGTTTTTTTTCCTATATACAATTTATATGGATGATGAATGAATACATTTTATGATTTGAATGATATTTTCCTGTTATTGTCGATGATGGTAAAGGCATCTATGATTTTGATATTTAATCTTAAAATGAAAATGATAATTCAATGGGAAAAATCCAAAACTAAAGATGTTTTGCCATTGCAGCGACCTATCAATTCCGAAGGAACAATCATGTTATGTGACATTTGAAATTGATTTCATGAAAAATTAGATTTTGTTTATCAATTTCAAATATCAGTACATTGTTTGTCGTTTTACAAACTACCGGAAACTAATAATAATAATAAAGATTCTTCATTCATCGTATATTATGTACAGAATTTATATTGAAATGAAGAAAAAAAAATATAAGATAAGAGACGAGACAAACAACAACAAAAACAAAAATTGCCGACAATAAACAAAACAAAACAAAAACAAAAAATGTTTTCTGGAAATATTCTACATTTCCTTTTTTAATTCTCTATTACATTTCATTTCGTTACAATGAAGAAAAAAAACGGAAAACAAATGTCAAACATGTATAAAAATAACTTTGCTTGTTTCGAATCTTGGTCATTAATTGTCAATCTAAAACGAGATTCGTTTAATAATATTGTCGAGACATCGAGATATTGAATTTTTCTTTTCTCTATTTTCATTCGAATCCATTCGTTCGATAAATATATTGATTATTTTACAAAAACAAAACAAAAAAAATGATTAAACCAGGATCATTATTTGTAATTCATGAATAATATCTTTTCATCATCTTTGTCATTGTGTAATACACAAATAGAATCGATCAATTAAATAAATCGATTGTGAATGAATTCCAAGAAAGAAAAAAATTCATGAAAAAAAAGCTTCATTATCAAAGATTATTATCCGGTTGCTATTATCATATATCACTGATATATTCAGAATGTCAATGACGCCGTAACAACAACAACAAAACGAAAAAAAAATATGCTAATTTCCTGTGCAAATCGGTTATAAACAACAATTTTGAAATGAAAATTTTTCTTTTGTTAATGATGAGAAAATGAAATGAAATGAAAAAATGAAAATATCTATAGGGAATATAAAACAAAACAAATCTAATGATGATGCTTATGTGATGATGATGACAAGAATAATAATAATAATTTCAATGATGATGATGATGATGATGATGATGATGATAATAATTCCCACAACAACAACAACAACCGTTGAATGAATTTCATATACCAAATGTAACAAACGTATTTAATTTTGTTTCTTTGATGACGATTATAATAATTTCAATGTTGTTGTCGTCGTCGTCGTCGCCGTCATCATCATGGTCGTCAAGCAAGTGACATTTTTTTTTTTTTGGCAGTCATTATCATCAGCGTAATGATAGAGAAAAAAAACGGTAAAATATTTATTCTTCTGTTTATAAATCCATTATAATCATTACCGTCATCATCATGATTATCATCATTATGGGTAATGCCGAATAATTCTTCTGTTTTTTTTTGAATGCCGTAAACTTTTTTTTTTTTTGATTCGGCATTTTTTTCATTTTGATTTTTGATGTTTGCGATTTTTTTTCATTATCGCAATATCATTTGTTCGGGGATAATTTTGTTGACATTCACCATTCACCATTGTTGTTTTTTTTTCAAATTCAATTTGTTTTGCCAACCAAAATATCTTGACATCTTATTTTCATCCTATTTTTTTTGCTTGATTCAATCATCGACCGCAATTCTTTCTTGTTTTGTTTGTTGTTGTTTGATTTTCAACTTTTTTATTAAATTTTTTTTTCAAGTTTCTATCCCCTTTTTACCACTGTGTGATAATGTGTTTGCACAAACATAGAATGTAATAATCTTCATTCTTTTCATAACATATAAAAATTCTTCACCATAATGATGATGATGATCATCATCACCAGAATAATAATAAATGAAAACAAAACAAAAAATCGAATTGAATTATTGGATTCAATTTATAAATGTGAATGTCGAAAATTGGTAGACAATAGTTTATTATTATTCATATAATGTGCCAAAAACAACAACAACAACAAAACTTCGATTCATTGTTTTTATCTTTATTTCATTTTTTTTTTTTTTTGCAGAAAATTTCCAATAAAAATTGAATATCATTCATCATTTTCATTTTTATCGTCTGGTCTGGTTTTATTATGATCCATTTTGGATCTTTATTACAATTTTTATTTTCCTGTTGAATAAATTGAAATAATTTGCAACAAAAACAAAAATTAGTTTGATACATTTATTGAATCGAAAATTCAACATTTTTTTTTATTGAATCATCAAGGATTACATCATCAAACTCAACAAAAACCGAATAAAATTTTATTTAATTATAATGTGTTGTGATTCTTTAAATCCTTAAATCATCATCATTGATAGAATTTCCAAAGAATTGCATTATTTAATGATGTTTACTTTTTGGATTTTCAATTTCTTACGTTCACTTACACTGTAGATTCTCATTTTTAACAGTGTAGATTTAAAAGAAAAAATCAACATTCAATTTTTGTATATGGTGTTTTGCCTTACATCTCATTACATAATTTGTTTGATTCGTATTTGATCATTTTTTTTCTTTTTTGAAATTGTGTGTTGGTTAAAGAAAAAATTTCGCCTCAGGTTTCAAAACAAATTCTCATGACAATTGAATAAAAAAAGGAAACATCAATCAATTCCAGATTTCTAAATGAACATTATCTTTTCGTCTTCATTTCCTATTCGTTTTTAAAGAATATTTCATGTTCAAATTGTTCATTTGTGGTAAATAAAATGTCAACTAATTTTCATAACTACATTATCATATTCATATCATATTTTCGAACATGTTTTCCGCTGGGGGTGAAAATAATAATGATTATTTATTTTTTGTTTGTTTGTTTGGTGAATCTACCCACTGACAGGTGTATTTTTATACACCTGTCAAAACGAAAAAATTGTTCATGTTTTTATTTGACAAATCGAGAGAAGAGAAAAATTTTGAAAAGTAAAATGAAAAAAAATTCAATAATTTTTCTACAATAACAACAGCAACGACAAAAAAGGAAGAATGGACAGTACATCCAAAGGCAATGAAACAACATTTGTCAACAACATTGAAATTCATGTAAAATCAATCGAACGAATTTTACTGTCAATGTCACAAAAGGTAAAGTGTGTATTTGCATGAAAAAAAATGTTTCCCAAAATAAATTAATGTTTCCTATGTTATGATTGAACTGATAGAATGAAATTAATATTGAATTGAATTGATGTGAGAGAAAAAAAATTGTACATTTGGCAAGTTTCATTAAGAAATTCTACATTTTTTTCCCGGTTATTAAAAGTTAATTCTTTTATGAATGGATTCAAAACTTTTCTCTTTTTTTCCATTGAATCTTTTGTTGTTGTTGTCATCATCAACAACATTTATTTTTTCCACAAAACCGATTATATAATGGTTCAAATTTCATTTCGATGATGTGAATTGAATGGGAAAGAATGGGAAAAAAAATTGTTCTAATTCGGCTTATCAAATTTTTCTTCTAATTTCCAAAAAAAAATTCATTCTTCTTTTCATCTTAACGAATCAATGAATGAATGAATGAAAAAAGAATTTCTTTTTCCACTAAAAGTTTCCACATCATCATCTTCTTGATGTTATTGTTGTTGTTGGTACAGAATTCAGTTTTTCAATGTAATTCAAGATGATGTACATAACTCGATTGAACATTAATTCATGTATGATATGTGTGTGTGTGTGTGTATGTGTATTGAGCATAGAATTTCATTTGTTTGTTTTAGTTACATATAATGTTTGGCTTCTTATTCTTCTTCCTTCTTTTGAATGCAAAAAGAAAAAGGAAATATTTCATAATATCAACCATTAATAATGACAATATTAATTGTTGATGTTTGATGACTTTAATTCTATGTTTTCTCGTTTCATTATTGTGCAAATTACATTGTTCGAATCAATTTGATGAAAAAGTAAAAGATTTCAAATCATCAATGTTATTGAAATGATTAACATTATTTTAATGAAAATCTTTTTGTTTCTAATTAAAAAAAACAAAATACATGCAATTAGTTGAAGAAAAATCATTATACTTATTCTTTGTCTTTTTATATTTACTTAACTAATTAACAATTCTTGATTTAGGATTTGTTATGACTTTTACCTGAATCTTATTTAGCAGAAGTACATAGATAAATAGATATGTAGATAAATAAAAAGTTTTACTTATTTTTTGGCTTTATCTCATTTTTGAAATCTTTAATTCGGTTCATTCACGAAAAAAAAACATTCTAATGAAGTGAAAACAAAAATCTCTGAGAAGAAAACAACCGAATTCAAATGTCAAAAGTCAAATGTTTTTTGACTATTTCTTTTGGAAAGAAAATAAAAAATAATTTTCCC